CAAAACTGAAATGTCCACAAGCCAAGAGCCAGGACTTGGCGGTCATGGGCAGGCTTTGCACATGAGAACAGGCAGCACATGTTAAGATAATGAACACACTTGTCTTGTTAGCTTTCATCTAGGAGTGGGCACCTCTGTGAAATCTCTGGTCCTGATGGCTATTCCTTGGAGTCAGCTGGCAACAGTCCACAGTAGGGAAGCGCTTAACAATGCTGCTTTCCTCTTACAGGCAGCATTGTGTGCTGTGCATGTCATCAGGAAGGTGCCTGAACTCATGGAGATGTTCCTGCCGGCCACCAAAAACCTGCTGAATGAGAAGAACCATGGTAATGTCAGCAGGCAAGGCCCTGCCTTGTCCCACCTGCTCCTCCCTGTAGGGATTGCATATACTTCCATCTAACCCAGCCTTTGGCTGAGAGCTATGAATGCTGTGTAGTTCTGTTTTTGTGACAGCAGATGCTTTGCATAGGGCAGAAGGCAAAGAGCTAGAGGTGATTCTTTGCTTCTGCAGGAAGCTGCACAACATAATCCACAGACACTGGTATTTCTGTTGATTTGCCAAAGCACTTGCTGCTTTTCTTTCAAGGCAGATGGTAAATAAGATAGTGACTGTATCTGATATGCTACTTAAAGGGCCTCTAGCAAAGTGGACTTTAATTTGTGGTACGTTTCTCCCTTGCAAGAATGGCCCTATGGGGTTCCATGTGAACCTCCTCTGACCTCAAGGCACTCTTGCGCAAGACCACAGACCTCCTGGCTGCTCAGGTTACAAGCCCCACCTGGGATCTGGCTTGTCTGTAATGTGACTGTATCAAGACAATGCAGTTGGAGCTGGTGAGCAAAACAGGATAGCGCTCAGCTTGTGTTCCCAGAGTGGCAGGATCTCAGTAGTGCTCTTGGGACTAGATGAATTGCATGGTTTTTGCAATGCAAAACAGGCTGCTGAGCAAGAAGGGGGCACTTTACATAGCTGTTCTTTGGACCCAGAACGGTCTTGGTCAGAGAATAACTTTTTTGCAAACTTGAAATGTGTTGTTTCGGATGCCGTTTTCTGCACTTCTCTTCTGAGTTGAAGTGCTTGTTCAGGTGTAGCATTTAAGGACAAATATCCAAACGTTGGACACCTTGTCCTTTCTTATCAAACCATGCATGACATCACATAGTCCATTCTCCTAGTTCACACATCTGCCCTCCCATGCTGTGGGAATAGAGGGGTATGACAGCAGCCCTGAGACAGGGTCAGCAAATCTAGGGAGTAAGAAAAGCAGCTCCATGCAAGTGCAGTGAACAGGTTTTGCTGCCTCAACATCTTACATTAGCCTGCATCTTGCTGTCTGCCTTGTCTGTGTAGCATATAATCCCCTCTAGACAGGGCCCTTTTCTGTCTAGCTGCTACTCCACTACAAACTATGTGTGCTTGCTGGCTTTTGGGGCCTGCTGCAAATGCAGTGCATCTCCTTTTGGACAGAATAGCTTAGGTGAGGGACATTATAGATCTGCAGCTTCTGTTTTCTGGTGTTTGTGGCTTTCATCTTTATCAGGCTGCAGCCTTTGTAAGATAAATGCAGCTAGTTTTGTTTCTGGCCTTACAGGTGTTCTTCACACATCAGTTGTCCTTCTCACAGAGATGTGTGAGAGAAGCCCAGACATGCTAGCACACTTCAGAAAGGTAAGTGCAAAGTTTCACTAGTGTTGCTGATGGTTCACATATTCTTTCTGGGCCAACATTGTACTTCCTTGTTCATGGCCAAAGGAGCATGAACAGAAGCTTGACCAAAATCCATATGTCTAGTTTTGAGTGAGGAACATGAGACTGCTGTATGATATGTGCTTCACAAATATTTTAACACATTATACACACAATTGCAAACTGAATTGGGAATCTTCCGTGTAATCATTCTGAGCGTCCTTGTGAAAGAGGTAAGTTGTTAGCAGCTGATGGATCACTTTTTCATGCATGTTCAGTATAAAACTTGCAGCGAGTTCTGTCGCGTGTATTCAGGGGAATCCCATTTCTTTTGTACCTGGTTGTACAAAGGCCTCAGGAATGGGATAGATTTTATCTCCTTCTGTGTAATTTAATGACGGGGGGCTAAAGTAAAAGTTACACTTCACACACGAACCTTAGTCTTACATGCTTGTCTTTGCACGTGCCAGATGTGAAGCACTTGCAATACAGTTCCTATCCACCTTGCAGGTGGTACCGATGGCCTTGCCCCAGGGTTGCCAGGGTAGCAGGCAAGAGTTCAAGAGCCAGCAGTGTCCTTCCCAGGGCTAGGAAGCGATGCCCTTCTGTTACAATACTCTCTACTTGGCACCAGTCTCTTGCCCCTGCCTGCTGTAACCTCTTGCTGTGTCTACTGCTTTCAGAATGTAACTGTAGAACTGTAACTCCTTCAGAAGTGGTTGGAAGGCCTCCTTGGCACATGGTTCCAATCCCTTTGGGCAAGGGAGGAACTGGAAGACAAGCAAAAGCTGATGGAGCCAGTTGCTGCGCTGACCACTCCTAGCGATGAGCTCCTTTTGGCCTGCGTGGCCAGTAAATGTTCTTTCAGAGGCTTGGGCATGTTGCCATGTTGGAGCTGGGGTTCTCCCTGCCCCCGGCCGTGTGTGCCAGAGGAGGGGAATGTGTGATGGGACGATGGAAGTGCTTGGAGCCGTTGCCCATCACTGTCTCTCCTTAGCGGCTAATGCAGCGCTGGGAGAGCAGTGAGGCACTCAGTCTAATGCCTGTACCAGGTCCTTGTTTTGGTTGCACTCTCTTCTAGCCATCTCTCTTGTGGTGGTTTATGCTGTGAACAGTATGACACTGGTCTGTCCCTAATGCCTGCTTCGTCTGTTTTGTCCCTCTTGTCTGTTTGGAATCCTGCTCTGTGTTAGAATGAGAAGGTAAGCGTTAACTTTTCTAGATGGTGCATGCTGGCGTGGGTCTGTAGAGGCTGCTTTGTCCAGTCACCACATGGAGGCATCATGCCTCAATGCTGCCTTCGTGACTGATGTCACATGCTAGTTCAGCCCTGCTGTCTAATATGTTTGTTGTGGTCCAGTCATGTCCTGTCACTAAATTCCTGTGTCTGCAGCAGCCCTGGATCTCAGTTGTAGCCACTCAGGTTGAACCTGCTTTGGTCTGTTGTTTGCTTGTTTGAGGAGTACTAGGAACCTCCTGGGGTGCTTCTGCACTGGAACCTGGGCATATTCTCCTTGCTGCAATGTGGGCTTTGCTTCACCAGCTCTGAGGAATTTGGACCCTGCCCTTTTATACAAGGGCCAGCAGGTCTAGTAGCCCTGGGAAGCATACAGAGGATCACAGGCCACCTTGTTCAGAACAGGCACACTCCACATACTTGGCTTATTCTCCTCACCTTGGAGCAGCTGGCTGTAGGGATGGAAGGTGGGGCAGCAACTGACCTTTATGGCTGTAGCCTTTCCCTCTGTTTGTCCTGTCATCAGTCCTATTCGCATGCCCTGTGCGCAACAAAGCCAAGTGTGAAGCGGGGCTCCAAGAATGCTCATGCACACCATGTCCTGTGGGAGAGGAGTCATTTGCCTGTCCCTTGCAGGCAGCTAATAGAAAACCACACCTCCCTCGGGTCTGAAGGAAATTGCCCTTTTCATTCCTTTCTGTGAGGGCCTCTGGAAGGCTTCCAAGGTCTTGGGGAGAGGCAGAAAAATGACAGAGCCAGCTGAAACCTACAAGTGGAAGTGGTCCTTGCCGGCAGAGCATCTTGATGGCATGGGACATTGCCCACAGTGTATGTTCTGTGCAGCTGGAGCTCTGCAGATCAGCTCAGCTCTGCACTGCTACCAAACTGCCAGACCCTGTCTGCTGACCAGTGCTCCTTCTCCGGAGCACACAGTCCCTGTCTCTGCCCCCCTCGGCAGCCTGCCAAGGTCCAGCAGTCAGTCCTGCTGGCAGAAAAGACTGCAGTGGAGGTGGCTGGCTAGGAAGTTATCATGCTAGCTTCTGTACTCACTGAAAAGAATGGGATGGGAGGGTTTAGTTTTAGTTTCAGCTGCAGAGCTACTAGATTGACTTTAACATCACTGCAAGTCACCTGGCAGTCAGGCTGCAGCACCACTGCACGAGAAAAGTTCTCATAGAAGGAAGAGAGTAAAACGGGGGCTGTTGCATTGCCACTCTCCTTCCCTGCCCACTCTGTGCTGTACCAGTCCACCTCTATTAGTAGCAGGAGGATTTTGGCAGGAAGTAGCTATTTAATAGGCCTCTGTTTATCTCCTATGCAGTGCGCACCAGCTGTGTGATGTTTTGTTGCAAACATACAGCAGGCCTGTAGCAACTGGCCTGTGGAATCCTGACCCCTGTACTGTGGTCACTAGCATGCGCCCTCATTGCCCTAATTGAAAAATGCCCCCGGAGCTATGTGCTGCTTCAGAACAGTGCCATTATGTTGCTCCCAGTCCTAGAGTTGGTCTCATTAAGGAGACCCCTGTCTCTGCTCGCTCCATCTTTAGCACTGTCAGTCAAGCTGTTGCATAGAGATGCCACTTTCCTAAAGGCAGACACAGGCTGAAATCAGGGTAGTTTGCTCCTGGGATTGAGAAGCTGTCCCCAGAGACCCAGGCCAGCACACCTGCAGGATCTAAGCTCTTGCTGTAATGTTCTAGCCCCCACAGTTCAAAAAGCTTCCAGGTGTGAGCAGAACAGGCTGCAGCATTGTCTTCCTGAATCAATGGGCAGTTTTGATGCTGTTGCTGCAGGTCAGAGCCTTGAATACAGTCAGTTTCACTGCTGCTACCCAGAACCTCTGAGCAGCAGTGGAAATGAGGGCAATTGGGCCAGCATCATGTGGGTAGACCTGTGAGAGCAAGGGCAGGGTTTGGTGGCAGGCTCTGGATCCAGCCAGGGAAATGCTGCCTGCTAATGGATTCTGGGGGAGGGAGACAAGGTGGAGAATCTCCTTCCAGGGTTTCTTGGACAATCCAAGAGGGAGAGCAGGAAAGAAAAAGCTCCTTCTTCCATCAGAGTTAGGGTGACCATTGCTAGATCTTCCTGCTTCTGCACTGTCACAGGGCCTTCAGGGTCAGGACTTTTTGTAACAGGAGTGTGGTCTCTTCCCTAGGGAACTGAGCCCAAAGGAGCCAGAGGGTGATGTGAAGGTGCTCTGCAGCCAGGTTGGGGACAGCACAGAAGTCCCAGCCCCCTCCTTTCCACCTGCTGCTGGCAGGGGGTTGCATTCTTCCTGTATGGCATTGAGAGCAGCTCTACAAATGTCTGTATTGACTGAGAGCTGGCAGGACAGCACTCTGAGCAGCTGTGGTGGGGGTCAGCACCTGGCCAGAGGTTTGGGTGTCCCCTTGCTGAGTCATGGGTATTCAGAGAAGGCTTCCCTAGTACCATGGGCTGGGCTACGTGAGGAAGGATCTGAATACTGCCCTCACATCCAAGTGCAGGGCTCATTCTTGGATCCCTACTTCAAAAGTGTGAGGAGGGTCTCACTGCATGGAGTTTCTGATGACTCTTTCTCTCTCTCAGCTTGTACCCCAGTTAGTTCGTATCCTAAAAAACCTTATCATGTCTGGATATTCACCAGAGCATGACGTGTCTGGGATCAGTGACCCCTTCCTGCAGGTAAGGACTGATGAAGCTTATGAATAGTTATATCTTCATCGCTGTTTTGGGGCTTGGCCTCTGTGCTCCTAGCACATTGTGCAAGCTCTTGGTTGGGGGAGGAGGGGGACGCAGCTCCTAGCCTCATTGGGGCTCTCCGTTCTGTTTCCTGGTCCTTGTGGTTCTGGTTGGAGGGAGGAGACATAAGCACAGTAAAAATTGTGGACCTAGGAATGATCCCGTCAAGGGAAGAGAGCTCAAATCCTCCTCTCTGCTCTAAAGCAGATGACTGGTTTCATTGCCAGATCAATATCTGACCTGCGTCTCCTGTGCTTGTCTGATGTAATGGAATTTCCTGCATTTTGTCCTTCCAGGTGCGGATCCTGCGGTTACTAAGGATTCTGGGACGCAATGATGATGACTCGAGTGAAGCAATGAATGATATACTTGCACAGGTGAGGCCTGCCAGGCTAAGCTGAGATTCAGCCAGAATTGTCCCTTTTAACTTAATTTTGCTACTTTTAGTGAGTGTGGTTTCCCAGTACTTCACATGGGATGACTGGCCTTTCCCTGCAGCAACGGGTGGTGGCTCTCATTATGCAACTGTGGGCTCCTAGGGGCTGTGATTTTGTCCTGGCAAAAATAGATCTGGGTGTGTGGGAAGATAGTGAATACTGGTGGGCTGCTGTGCACCTTCCAGATACTGGCTATAGTTACTTTTTTGTTGGTTTCTTCCAGGTCGCCACCAATACAGAAACAAGTAAAAATGTGGGAAATGCCATTCTCTATGAGACTGTGCTGACTATCATGGACATCAAGTCTGAGAGCGGACTGCGAGTACGTAGCCCTTACCCTGGTGCTCTTTGCCAGGTGCATGGGAGGTTAGCTGTGAGGTGACTGATTCAGTGGAGCTCATCTCCTGGGGCTGGGCATGCCAGAAAGCCATGTGAAAGCTAACTGTTACGCTCAAGTAGTGGGGCCCAGAGTGAATTCACTGCCTCTGGGGGAGAGGCTTTTCTAAAGAGAGCAGCCTGCTGCTATGTATGGCATCTGGTTAGCTGGTGTATGGAGTTCTCTTCTGCCTCTCAGCTAAACCCCTGCTAGTAGCTTTGGCAGCAAGAAGCTGAGGGTTTGTGGAGTAGTGATGCAGAGTAGTAGTCTCCTGTGGACACTAACCATCTCGAACTCTTTCTGCAGGTGTTAGCCATTAACATCCTAGGACGTTTCCTGTTAAATAATGACAAAAATATTAGGTAAGTTCAATGGAGCATGTCAGAGGTGGAGGAGTATGTGGGACACTGTTATGTGAAGATTCTGCCAAAGCAGAGTAGCATAAGACCAAGTGGTGGCAGGTGCTGAAGGTGTGGATGTGGCAGACTGGCATTCACAACTATGGTATGCTGCTGTCCACGTATCTGATCCTGGCCATACGCTTCCTGGCCAGTGAGTCTGAAACTATTGCCTGATGTCCTGGAATAGTCCAGATAAGGCTTGTTCCAGTAGCCAATGAAGTTGCTTGCTTTCCTTTATTGGCTGAAGCAGCAGTAGGCAGTTTGATCTGGGCTGATATGAGGATTCCAGACTTGCTCTGCTTTATACACTGGACTATGTAGCAGACTACAGTATAGTCCTTTCACAGCACTGAGGAAGTGAGCTGAAGTTCACAAAAGGTGGTGCGCTCTATATATCTTATTTGGCCTATAAGGTCCATATTTACCCTGGCTTTTGCATGAGGACTCTGAGCCAGAGTGCCACTTGTCCAGGTGAATGAGCCATGTGTTTGATGGCAGCAGTGTAGCCAGCCTTCCAGGTTGAAAGGGTCTGATTTGACTCTGGTATGCAAATTGCATGCACCAGTTGGAGACCCTCCTTTGGGCAGGGCAGACAGCAGCATGCTACAGTTCCTTTGGCTCTCAGTGGTATGGGGCCATCCATGTTGCTTTGTCAGAGAAAGGCTAACATTTTTACAGTGAAAGAGGATGACTAGAATTAACGTGGGATTCTGCCTTGTGTTCTTATTCCAGATATGTTGCCTTGACGTCTTTGTTGAAAACAGTGCAGACAGATCACAATGCGGTCCAGCGGCACAGAAGCACCATTGTGGATTGCTTGAAGGATCTGGATGTTTCCATTAAACGGTAACTGCACAATTGGTGAACTGGTTGAGTCCTGATTGCACTGTGGGGCAGTGAGAGGGGAGAGGCAGGTTAACTGTCCAGGATAATGTAGGCCTGTGCTATGGAACATGGGAGTTGAACTGACTTATGTCAAATGCAGTTTGCCTCTTTTTGGTAACCCCCCCCAGCTGTAAATCCCCACGTGCCAGAAGCAAGACTTGGTCTGTGATGTCTTTTATTCAGTTCTCTCTCCAGTTGGGGGAGAGACTTGCACCGGAAAACTGCTCAGAGTTCCTTCCCTCAGCTCTAGGGAGGAAACAGATGCTGCAAGCTAAGGAGCAATGGCTTTCTTATTTCCTTGTGTACAGCTTATCTGATGTCCCTCACAGTTATGTATTTGGTTCATTAAATGATATCACCCAACAAACCTCACTTCTCTCATGCTCCCTGGACCACTGGAGCTACAATGACACCATGACTGTATTACTGTATGTCCAGAGCAGCTCTGTTCTGTGTGGAGGACAAGGCAGCTCTGCACTGTTCTGGGTTTTACGCAGGGCTCTGCTATTGTGGTACAGGTTCTAGGCAAGAAGACTTGGGAAGATGGATGGGGAGGCAAATCTGTTAGATTGTCCAGCTTTGCTCCTTGGGCTGCAGAAGCATTCCTTGTTCCTTCTTAGTGCTCAGTGTGAGGTTGCCACTTGCTCCTTTGGGTAATCCAGAGCCTACTCCGTCTTGCTATTAAGAAGGTTTTTCCTGATATTTGGCCTAAATTTTCTTCCTCTTAATTTTGTCCTGTTACTCCTGATGACCATTTTAACCACAATCAAGTCACCCTTCCCCCTCTAGTCTTTGTCCTGCTGGCTCAGTGGGCTGTTGTTATGGTTCCCATCCCACTCCCTCATGTCTCCTCGCTGGCTGAGCTGCATATATTCAGTTCGTTTAATCTTTCTTGTAAGTCTTCTTCCCAGCTCTTTGACCATTCTCTCTAAACACCCTCCTATTTGTCAGGAGTCTTCCTCTAATTGGTGACTAGAAATCGGTGCAATGTACCATGCATTTTTGCACCAGAATCGGAGAGATGGAGACCATTGTGTGCTTGCTCTGTGATGCAGTGTCTCTGCATTTGCAGCCCTAGATTTTTTTCCCCCCCCTCTTTTGCTGTCAGCATATTGCAAACAGGTTTTGTTTCCCCTTCTGAGATGTCCTGACTCCTTTTTTGACTCTTGATTGTACAATAATGATGATGATTTATACATACGGAACGCTAATTGCCAAAGTGAATCTGCATTTTGTGCTACTGTGTTCTAGATTTCTTTTTGCTCTTTGCCCAGGGTGTTCTGATTTCTTTGCATTTGCTTTTCTGCTAAAGCTGGGCTTAGTCTATCTTTTTAGTAGGTTTTGCATAATCTATCCTTACAGCACAAGGATTCTGTAGATCAGAATATCTCTGCTGCTGACTTGGGACTTGCATGCAGCTATAAATAGAGGCATGGCTATGTTGTCAGGGACTAGTGTGGCCTCTGAGTATAGGACGTCAGGTGAGACGTGTTGGAGACTGCTAGGAAATTGAATGCATGCTGGAGCCCCAGGGAAACTTGTACTCTGTTTTGTGCTGTTGGAGGATGAAGCTTTAGAGTGATCCATCGGCAGAGCGTTCTCTTGCAATGCTGACACTCAAGCTGCTGACAACACACTTGTCATTCCAGCCGTAGGCTCACAGCATGATGGACTCCTTGGAGCAGATGAAGCTGTGAGGCTTGAGATTGTGGAACTGGGTATAGGGAAAAGCGTGGCCATCTTGTACGTTTTACTGTTGGTCCTCTGTTAAGCCCCGTTCCTACCCCTGTCTCCAGTAGCCAGGTTGTAATGTGTGAAATGCCTGGGTGGTGCAGTACAAAATGCCTTTTTCATGTGAACCTTGATGCAAATGCCAGATGTGATCAAACTGGGGCTGGTAGCTCCATAAAGAGAACTAATCCCTTAATATGTTCAAGAAATGTATTTGTCATGAGCAGAGTTTGCAAAGTGCCTCTGGCTGTGTTGTTGGTTAAAATGACGCGCACATGGACAAGCCTGTTGCCCAGCAGGGTTAGGCATAAGAGACCTTTTATTAAATAGCAGGAATAAAAGGACTCGGGTTATATGGACCCAACTGAACGTGAGTCCCTAGTCCCAAACTGCCGAAATGGTGGGAAATTGGGGAGGTTCAGGAAGGAGCTTCAGGACTGATGTTTTGAGATCTGGAAATATTGCCTTTATTGTGGCACGAGCTCAGTCTGTGTAGTTTATTGGGCAGTAGGGTAAGGGGTAGGCTGGTGACTGCCAGCAAGTACTTACATGGGCAGAAGGCCTCTGATGTAGAGCTCCCTGATTTAGCAGCTGAAAAAATGAGTTGATGGCTAGAAGCTAGAGCTATCAAAACTTTTACCACTGGGGTTGGAGGTAACCCCTGCAATAGCTGGCCTGGGCGCATTCCATTACTTGGAGCCTTTAAATCCAGTCTGGGTGTCTAGTCTGACTAGCTGCTATGATCTGAATGCAGGGGTTGCTGGGTGAGGTGCTCTGGCTTGGCTTGTTTTGGATTGTGGAGGAAGTCAGGTAATTGAACTAAAACCTGTGAAGCCTGACAAAGTCTGCGGTTGTCCTGCCATCTCTCCCATGTCTCAACTGAACTTAGCTGCAGGGACAGATCTTTGCAGACTACTGGGACCGCTCCGTTGTTTTGTTTTATCCCTTTGGTGGAGAACTTGGAAACAGCCCATGGATGGGAATGTGATGGCCCTTTGCTTCAGGGCCCCTTCCCCCCTCAGGATAAATGAGCATTGCTGCCTCTTCTCTCGCCAAACAGTGAGAGCATGAGAAACCAGCATTTGTGCAGCCTGTGATAGCCGAGTCACTTGTTACGCTTGCCTCCATCTTGTCCCAGGCGTGCGATGGAACTGAGCTTTGCTCTGGTTAATGGAAACAACATCCGTGGAATGATGAAGGAACTGCTGTATTTCCTGGATTCCTGTGAGCCTGAGTTCAAGGCGGATTGTGCATCTGGAATATTCCTTGCAGCAGAAAAGTAAGGATTTAATATGCACGTTATGCCCTCCTGGGGTCTGGAATTATGTAGGTGTGCACTGTCCCTCTGCCTAGAAGAAACGAGGCTGGGACACTTCAGTAGGTTGCAGACTGAGCCTTGTGCAAGTTGGCAGCAGGCCTGCCTAGAGGAGCAGTACGGTCTAGTGCTGACTGCTGTGGGACGGGCATCTTATGTGAGAGCTTAACAACTGGGTCTGTCATTTAAACAAGTCCAGGACTTGGACTCTATTCCAAGCAGCAGCAAGGTGCTGCATTTGGTGCATCCAGCTTATTGCACTGTGACCGGTGGGGGGCATGTTCTAGCTGGCAGAACAACCTTGTGGCGCTGTTTGTGCAGAGTGCCCTGGGCTGCATCGTGATTGCTGGTCTGTCAGCTGACATCCTGTAGGCTGGAGAGAGACAGGTTCCAAAGGAATGTGAAAAGACGTCCTGGAAGGCAACGGGCTGGGAGGTGAATGGAGAGGAGGCTTAGATGCTAGCAGGAGCTGCTGATGGTAGTCACCTTTTGACTTGATTTCCAAATTGTTTTCTCAGATATGCCCCTTCCAAGCGTTGGCACATAGACACAATCATGCGAGTCCTGACAACGGTAAGTAGCAAGCCTGTTCCCTGAGAACCCATGGGTACTTTGCTCTAACCCTGCAGAGATGAGGTTGCATTAGTATTTAGAGTCTTTGGCCACTCTGCGCTGTCTTGCTGCCAACAGCCAGCCTCAGTGCATAAATGGAGCACCTTTTGGGGGTGGATAGTGGGGTCCCGAAACCTTTGGCAAGGTCGTTCTTTTCATGTTGTTTTGGGAGGCAAAAAGCACGTTTCAGCAGAGCCTGGGGGAAGCTGCTGTGGAATGGTGTCATTGTGGCTCGTGTTGGAGCATCCCCAGAGGTTCTAGCTGGGTTCAGGGCCTTCTTGTGCTGCAGGCAATGCAGATGGAAAAGGAAACACAAGCCCTTTTGGGACAGCCATGGCCAAGGGGCCAAACGCTGCCTGAGGGACGAGGGCCTAGTCAGTATAGACCACCTTAGTCGGGTAGTCCTAGGTTCTTTTTCATAACCACAATACCAAGGACCAGCTGATCTGTTTGCTGTTTCCCCTGATGATTTGTTCTTGGCCAACCTGGTGAGGCTGATGGGCTCACTTGAGACTATGGCTCTTCTGGGGAACTGGGACTGGCTCAGGTGCCAGAATGGTCCCAGTACAGAAAGGAGCAGCATCCTTGGTGATGATTAACATTTATTATTTTCCATGAGAGCCAATTCTTGAACGTTGAGAGGAGCTATGGAGGGGGCCAGCTAGGAAACAGAGCTCATCAGGGTTGCACACATTCTCTTTGGATTTTCTGTCACAGCTGCTTTTAGGTTGAGGGTGGATCATCTGATGGCTCTCAGTATTCAGGTTCCTGGCCTTTAACCAAAGGGCTTGTAAAGGCAGGCTGGCAGGGCAGTCCCTTGGACTCATCCTCCTTCATCAGAGTGGGATCTGACTGCCTTCATCAAAAGCCAAGGGTTTTTTCAAAGGCACTTCTGGTATGGAGGGCCTGGTGCTGCTGCCTCCCATGCTGCTACTGTTGGTATTGAAGTCCAAGGTTCCTCTGTACCATGCCCTCAGTGTGGATGAATTCATACAAGGTGGGCTGGCCTGTAGAGCAGTCATGCCTTCAGGCCTGTGAGAGCTCAGAGAGCTTCCCTTTGTAGGGGCGCCTGCTCCTCCTCTGGTTGCCATAAGGTGGAAAAGGAAAACACTGGCCATGAGGAAATCATTTTGCCATAGAGGCAAGTAAAGAAAAGCTTCTGGGAGCCTGTGTAATGCTGTGTTAATCTGTCCAGAGAATGTTTCAGACTCAGATGTACAGTATTAGGAAGCTGCAGCTGTTCTCCGCCAGCAGGGAAAATGTATGCAGTGCATCTTGTTACAAACCTAATATTATCTTCTCCTGGCCCCCACGGTGATGGGCCCAGCATAAACCTCTGAAGAGTCTTGTCTTCTTGTGGCCCTTCTATGCGGGGACCAGGGCTAGTCCCAGTGGTCAGGAGAAGTTGCCAAGTCAGCTTCTCTTTTTCCCACACTGGGGAGGCAGGATCCCAATTAAGGCTCATTGTTATGTGCATGTATCATAAGTCACCTCCCCAGAGAGCTCACAGTTTGGATTTAATGAGATGTGACAGGTAGATTTAGCAAATGTGGAGGGAGGGTGAAATCCTTTAACTGCTAGCAGACCTCAGGTGGCTTGTAAGGCTCTTGGGAGTATGTTGGAAGAAGGTGGAACAGGGACACCTGGCATGTTCCTTGAAGATGTGACTTCTCTTTCAGGCAGGGAGCTATGTTCGTGATGATGCTGTCCCCAACCTGATCCAGCTGATAACCAACAGCATGGAGATGCATGCCTACACTGTGCAGAGACTCTACAAAGCTATCTTTGGCGACTACTCCCAGGTACTTGTCCAGCAGTGACCTCTGGTTTCCATGCTGCTGTTGTCATAAGCCAGTATTGGTGCTTGCTAAGTAAGCTCCAGGCCAAGCGTAACATCCATCACCATTTCAGGTGGGGGTGGGAGCCTGGTATTTGCCTCGGCTATACCTTTTCTTTTAGTGACACGCTGTTCCTGTTCTGCTTGCCCTATTGGGAATCTGGCTCTGAGCCTGGCCAGAAGACCACACCTGCTGCGCGTACATGGTGCTCTAGGTCAGCTGTTCTGGTCCTCAGCTCTGTTTACCTGCATATTGCACAGCTTGTTCCTGATGTATCTGGTTGATTCTTCTTACAGCAGTCCCTGGTGCAGGTGGCCTCCTGGTGCATAGGAGAGTATGGAGATCTGCTGGTGTCTGGTCAGTGTGAAGAGGAGGAACCAATTCAGGTACGCCTGTGGGAGGGGGAAGCTGGGGCCAGAGTCAGGTGCTCTTGGGCTCATGGAAGAGGAGGAGATTTGCATGAACAGCTGCCACTCGCCCACCTTGGCAGCAAGAGAGGAAATGACCTTGTTGTGTGCCTGGGAAGGGTCAGTCTGCACAGATGTCTGACACTCCCCCTGGTTTCTTGGTTCCTGCAGGTAACGGAAGATGAAGTGCTTGATATCTTGGAAAGCATCCTGATATCAAACATGTCTGTATCCGTCACGCGAGGCTATGCTCTCACTGCCATCATGAAGCTTTCCACTCGGTTCACCTGCACGGTCAAGTGAGTGTCTGGCAGGAGCTGGCATGGCATGGGAGGGTAGGACAGGTGGTAAAGATCCATGGGTGCCAGCTGTGCTGGGACAGAGTCAGGGTATTTGTCAGAGAGTGTCTGACCTTTGTGTGTGTGTTTGTGGATAGTCTGCACTCCATGGAGACTGCAGCCAGATGCTGGCAGTTGTGCTTGAAAGTTCTTTGTTGGGGAAGAGACTCTTCACTTAGTTGTGCACTGTCCTGACTTCCCCTCTGCTTTGCCAGAAGAGAATGAGCAGCTCTCTTCCTTGCACACATCTCTCCAGGGGCTGTTGGGCAGTATGCATCATGGTATTCCAGCCAAGTGATAGCTAGACAACAGAGGCATGCAGGGCCGTGTAGACATCAGGTCAAAAACTAAACTAAAATGGGTGTCCCTGCTGAGTTACCAGGGGTTCCACAGACCTCTGCTAGGCAGCGACAGCCGTGCAGGTGTACCCTGATCCCTTGCTTAAGACCTGTTGGTCCCCATCTGTCCTGCAGCCGCATCAAGAAGGTTGTGTCCGTCTATGGCAGCAGCATCGACGTGGAGCTTCAGCAGAGAGCAGTGGAATACAACGCACTCTTCAAGAAGTATGACCACATGAGGTGAGTGCAAGAGGTTCCTTGTGTGGCGCCAGTAGGGAGAGGCTAACCCCATGGCCTGTGTGAGTCCTGCCAAAGCTCACGATTCTGACTAGTGCAGCTTCCCATTCTCCAGTGCTCCAGATATGTCAGCAGTTTGCTAGGACTCTGGTCAGCATCATGTTTACTGGCTCTAGCTTCACCTCTCAGTGGCGAGTGCCACCTTTCGGGGCAAAGCATTTTTTCCTCTGCTTCTTTGGTTGCAGAAGCTTGAACTGGCATGTCACCTGCCCTTGTGCACACACCCCACCTCCTGTGCTTGGTTTCTGCCCTTCCAGGAGGGGCTACTGGGCCTCAGACCCAGGTGATCATCTTCCTGTTCAAGTTGCTGAGGCTGGCAGTGAATAACTGATGTTTCCCATTGGATCTTCTAGCTCCATTGCCTGATTTGCTGAGCCATTCTCACCTTGAGTCCTGGCTTCCTGTCCCAGCCTTGCAGTGGAACCTGTCTCATGTAGCTAATGGGGACAGGACTTATCTCCATCCCTGCTATGCAGGACAGTGTCAGTCAGTAGCAAGGTTACACTGGGTGAGGCAGGGTCAGAGTCTTTAGCTGGCTCAGGCTTGTTTGTGTGATCCCATAGCTCAGACAGGGAAGGGCAGGTACTCTGTGCACCCTGTTCTTACTGTATCTTGGGGTTTGGGTTGGGACCAGGGGAGATGGCACAGTGTAACCGTGTCAGCTTCTTTCAGGCCAGCCCTGCTTGAGAGAATGCCTGTTATGGAGAAGGTGACCACTAATGGCCCCACTGAGGTCGTGCAGACCAATGGAGAGACAGAGCCAGCAGTGCTGGAAACCAAACCTCCTCCTCCTGGGCTGCAGCCCACCAGCCAGGTAATGGAAGCTGCCCCCTTCCCACAGTGCAGCCTTTCCCACTGTCGTTCTGACCTAAGGTGCTGGGAGACCAGTGCCGTCTCCCCAGTGAGCACCTGACTCCTTGTTGCCACCTTCTCCAACCCAGGTCTTGACTGCCTGATGCAACCTCTCCCCTGCTGGTTTCCAGGCCAGGGGAGCAGGTCAATGGGCAGCAGAGGCTGCCACAACAGGAGCACAGGCAGGAGCAGTGCTTGCAGATGGGTGGAGACAGCCCCAGGGAGGAGTGCTGACCTGTCTGCTGGCATGGGACTCCTCCCTCCCCTGCCACAGTCCTGCAGAGCCCAGGACTGAGACCATGAACTGCATTAAGTTACCACTTAATTAGCATTCAGAGGTGCTCTGACTAGTCTGTAACAGTGGGTCCCTTTAGTCTGCAAACAAGTGGAGTCTGTTGTGGGTAAAAGTGAAGGCAGTGGGGAGCTGAGTGTGTTACTGCCTCTATCACTTTCTCATTAGGCAAATGATTTGTTGGACTTGTTGGGAGGAAATGATACTACCCCAGTAATTCCCACTGCGCCAATGAGTAAGCCGGCCTCTGCTGGTGGGGAGCTCCTCGACCTCCTGGGAGACCTTAACCTGACAGGTGAGCCCCAGCTGTCGCTGTGGAAGCTTTCCAGGACCTCTGCCCTCAGTAGGAGGGAGGGAGTGTCAGTCTGGCTGTAGATGTGAGAGGTCAGGCACCCTTCTGCCAAGGCATGGTGTGCCCTCAGGGGTGGAAGCCCAGGTTGATACAAACAGCAGAACGATCTGGGCTGAGATGGGGGTTCTCCACTCTCTGCCTTGGGCCAGGCTGAGCACTTACCAGGAGAAGTTGGAGTCTGCGCCTCTTCTCTCTACCTGGAGAAACGCTTGCTTTGAGGGGTTACTCTGCTGACAGAAGCCAAAACCAGCAATGCCCTGTGGGTGGGTGGCAGGGGGGACATGGCTCCATTGGTGTCTGCTTACAGAAGTGTTATGCGCTGACTGGTTGGTTCTCAAGGTGGGAGAAGTCTCCCCCACTTCCTGCAAACTAAACTTTGGTCTCCTCTTCACACTTCCCATAGGTTCTCCAGCCTCTGCCCCTACCCCTGCCCCACAGATATCGCAACCTCCGTTCCTGCTGGATGGACTCTCATCACAGCCTCTCTTCAATGACATTGCTGCTGGTAGGAACCTGTGAAAGCCAAGCCCAGGGTGTTGTGGTGTGCCCATCTTTTGCAGTGGGGGGCTGTGAAGAGGAAGGAGTTGAGAGAGCTTGGGAGCAAAGTTTTTGAAGGACAAAGGAGATGAGTTAATGGAGTCAGAGTTCCACACTAGGCTGTACTGGGTTGGTGATGGGAAGGGGGTCCAGCGCCATTGGGTGACACCAAGTCCCTGTCGGGCGACTGCTCTCTTCCGCAGGCATTCCCTCTATCACTGCGTACAGTAAGAATGGGCTGAAGATTGACTTCACCTTTGAGAGGTCAAACACAAATCCCAGTGTCACCGTGATCACGATACAGGCCTCCAACAGCACGGAGCTGGACATGACCGACTTTGTTTTCCAGGCTGCAGTACCAAAGGTAAGACCCCCAGCAGGCTCCATGGTGGGACAGGAGCCCAGTCTTGGTTTTCAAAGGTTTGCTGCTCAGCTCCACCCCAGAAGGAGCCAAGTCCAAGACGCACAGGGCAGTAAAGGTGTTCCTTCAGGACAGGAAGGGCTCTGCAGCCTGACACCTAGGGCTGTTGAGCTGTACGTGCTGTGGAAAGCTCTGAGCCTTTCAAGCTGGGGTTTCCCTGCCAGTGCAGTCTTGCCCGAGACCATGCTACTTCCTTGGTAAGCTGGTAACTGCATCCCAGAAAAGGTTTGGATGGAAGAGGCCAGGAAGGGGGAGTGTTGTATAGACTGAAGGGACAAGGCATGAGCCATAATCTATGTTGCACAGCTCTTGAGCCAGACTGGTTGCTTACTTGTCATCATAAAATGCTGGTGACTTCTGCCTGCCCCAGCTTGTGCTCCTAGGGAGCACTTGGTTGAAGTAGCTTGGGACTTTGCAAGCACATGTCTGCCTGAACGTTTCTGAATTACAGTGTTGGTACTTAAGAGAGAGATGTGAAGTTCCTGTCAGTTGCCATGGAGCTGACTTTGTCTTCTGCTCCACCACTGGATCACTCAATCTCCCCTGCATTAGTTACCATATTGCAGGCAGGAGCCAAACTTCCCTGATCACTTTATATAGTCCTAGAGAAGTGGTGCTGGAAGGGACCTCCAGAGGTCATATCTAGTCCAACCCCTGCCTGGGGCAGGATCAGTCCTGCCCAACCATCCCAGAGAAACCTATTGTCCAACCTCTGAGCAGAACGACAGAGTCAACCCTTGGGCGTCCCTCGAGGTTCCATACTCAGACCAGTGCCTTTCAACATGCTTATCAACGATTTGGGTTTGGGTATTAAAAGTGAACTGGCAAAAGTTGTTGACGACACCAAACTATAGTTTCATAGATTTAGGGTCGGAAGGGACCTAGTAGGTCTTCTAGCCCGACCCCCCGCCAGGGCGGGAGAACAACAAAACCCCAAAACAAAAAATGAGACTCAAATGAGTCCAGCCAGGTAGGCATCCAGCCTCTTCTTAAAGACCCCCAGGGTAGGGGCCAGCACCACTTCCCT